AGTTTTTATTGTGGATTGAGTGAAAGTTTACAGGGCAGTTCATCAGTTTTATATTCAGCAAATCATATACCTTGTTTCATTACAATGATTATAATCCCTCCATGTACCACCAATTAACAGAATTTCTCTATATTCGCTTTAGCTTTAAAAAACAAACAAAAAACCACTCAGGCTTATATAATAATTTACACCTCCTAAGGGCACATTCTGCAAGTCAGCCTCTTGGAAACCAGTTCTTAGTCTCTCTCTTTCCAAGAACCTAGAGTCCTCAGCTGCTCCCCCTTCTCCATGGCCCCACCTCGGCCTCCCTCTGTGGCATCGCTACTTCTCTGGATAAGGTCCCACATTCTGCTTCTCCAGTGATGGTCCTAAGGCTCTCTGTTTCTGGACTGTAAGACTAACTACTCCCCTTTTTTTGGTGACAAAACTTCTAACTTTACAATTGTGACAGCCATAGTTAGTCATGATAACAGTTATTCACTATTGAATCATACCGATCTTATCCCCATCTCATTTCACCAGACTCGATGAAAACTACTCAGTGGGGACTCTTTCTTCCCCCACGTACTCTTAATTTAAACTCCATCTTAAAACCTTGTAAGCCAGTCACTTCGTGCCTTTATCGCCCCCTCCTTTTAGGTAGCCAATGTCTAAGTTGCCCATCCCTATCTACTCTGTGTACAGAGGGGATAGCAATGACACTTGATGTGAAGACTCTTCCCTGTCTGTTGGCATATAGAGTTACTACCTCCATGAGTCAGGGTCAGCAGTTCGAATCTACCAGCTGTTCCGCAGGAGAAAGATGAGGCTTTCTGCTCCCATGAAGATTTACAGCCTCGGAAACCCTGTAGAGGTTCACTATGAATCGGAACTAACTCCACGGCACATGACAACAACAACAACTTCCATGAGATAGAAGGAAGGCTTTTTTACATTCCTTACATATGTGAAGTCATTCTGCAAAGTGAGATCCCATATGTCCATTGAGGAATTGGAGTGACTAATTGATTTTTCAAAGTCCTTATATTCATAAGGCTTCTCTCAACAGTGAAATCCAGTAAGTGCACATAGATCTGAGGACTGAATGAAGTCTTTTCCACAATCCTTATACACATAACACCGGTCTCCATGGTGTGTTCTTTTATGTTGAGGGAGCTGTGTCTGAAGATTAAATGTTTTCCCACATTCCTCACATTCATAAGGCTTCACTCCACTGTGAAGACCTTGTATGTTCAATGAGCTTTGAGGAACAACTAACGGCTTTTCCACATTCTTTACATTCACAAAGTTTCTCTCCATTGTGAGATCCTATATGTTTAGTAAGGGTGTAGGACCGAGTAAAGGTTTTCCCACATTCCTTACATTCATAAGGCCTCTCTCCACAGTGAGATCTCATATGTACACTGAGGACTGAGGACCGAATGAAGGCTTTCCCTCATTCTTTACACTAATAAGGCCTGTCTCCACTGTGTGATTTTTTATGTCGCATGAGCTGTGTGTGAAAAAGAAACCATTTCCCACATTCTTTACATTCATAAGGTTTTTCTCCACTGTGATATCTAGTATGTTGAGTCAGCTTTGAGGAACAAATAAAGGCTTTCCCACATTCTTGACATTCATACGGTTTCTCTCCAGTGTGAAGTCGTATATGTTTAGTAAGGCTAAAGGACCGAGAAAAGGTTTTCCCACATTCCTTACATTCATAAGGCTTCTCTCCACGGTGAGATCTCATATGTGCATTAAGGTATGAGGATTGAAAAAAGGCTTTCCCACATTCCTTACATGCGTAAGGCCTCTCTCCACTGTGAGATCTCATATGTTGAGTAAGTCTGTAGGATGTAATAAAGTGTTTCCCACATTCCTTACATTCATAAGGCTTCTCTCTACTTTGAGATTGTTTATGTTGAGTAAGTCTGAAGGATGTAATAAAGTCTTTCCCACATTCCTCACATTCGTATCTCTTTTCTACACGGTGAGATCTTCTATGTTCAGTGAGTTGTGAGGAACAACTAAAGATTTCCCCACATTCGTTACATTTCTCTCCAGGGTGAAATCGTCTTTTATGTCTTTTAAGGCTCTCAGACAGACTAAAAGTTTTTCCACATTCCTTACATTCATAAGGCTTCTCTCCACTGTGAGAGCGCATATGTCGAGTAAGTTTGGAGAATTTAAGAAAGGCTTTTCCACATTCCTTACATTCATTAAGCTTCTCTCCACTGTGAGATCTCATATGTTGAGTAAGTCTGTAGGATGTAATAAAGTCTTTCCCACATTTCTTACATTCATAAGGCCTATCTCCACTGTGAGATCTTATATGTTGAGTAAGTCTGTAGGATGTAATAAAGTCTTTCCCACATTCCTTACATTCATAAGGCCTCTCTCCACTGTGAAATCTCATATGTTGATCAAGTCTGTAGGATGTAGTAAAGTGTTTCCCACATTCCTTACATTCATAAGACCTCTCAGCACTGCGAGATAGTTTATGTGAAATGAATCTTGAGGAGCAAAAAGAGGTTTTTCCATAGTCATCACATTGATAAGGTTTCTCTCCACTGTGTGCTTTTTTATGTTTCTCGAGGTGTTCGAAGGCTTTCCCACATTCTTTAAACTCACTAGGCCTGTCTCCACTGTGTGTTCTCTTATGTTGAGTGAGCTCGGTCTGAAGATGAAAGGTTTTCCCACATTCTTCACATTCGTATCGCTTTACTACACTGTGAGATCTTGTATGTTCAGTGAGTTGTGAGGAACAACTAAAGATTTCCCCACATTCGTTACATTTCTCTACAGGGTGAAATCGTCTTTTATGTCTAGTAAGGCTCTTAGGCAGACTAAAAGCTTTTCCACATTCCTTACATTCATAAGGCTTCTCTCCACTGTGAAATCTCATATGTTGAGTAAGTCTGGAGAATTTAAGAAAGGCTTTTCCACATTCCTTACATTCATAAGACTTCTCGCCACTGTGTGATCTTATATGTTCAGAGGGTTTTGAGGAACAACTAATGGCTGTCTCATATTCCTTACATTCAAGAGGCTTCTCTACACTATGAGCTACTCTCTGTCTACTAAGGGCTATGGCATGACAAAAGGATCTCCCACATTCCTTATATTCATACTTCCTCTCACCACTTTGTGTTCTTCTTACATATTTAGAGACTGTTAAGGAACTATCCTTGGGTTTCCCACAATCCTCACATTTACAAACTTTCTTGCCATTAACAGTATTTGAATGATGTTTTATGTAAGAGGGAGAACAGCAGGTTTCTCTATGTTCTTTATCCTGGTATGGTTCATATTGAGTATGAGAGCTGATTGGATGATTAAAGGTATAATTACCACCCTCATGAAACTCAAAAGCATTTACTCCAACCTCAGTTCCTCTGAGGCTCCGATGATTTTCCTCAGAGCAGGTACTTGGATCACCTTCTTCATATTTCTTCACTTTATCTTCTTTATTTGCACAGCTTCTCTCTACTATATCTTTTCTGTTGAAAACAGGAATCATGCTGTTAAAATTACGTTTTATACCATTTCAAAACTACCATACACACTGAATGTGCATTTTTTCCCCTGAGATGTCTCATGTTGCACAGGTTAAATCATCACAAGCATGGTGCTAGCATTACTGTAATTGTATTCCATAATAAACTTTATGATACTGTGTATAAATGAGCTATCACAAATACATATTTGTCGTTGTTAGGTACCATCGAATCAGTACCAGCTGATAGCCACCCTATACAAAACAGAACGAAACACTGTCCGATCCTGGGCCAAACTCACAATTATTGCCATTCTTGAGCCCACTGATGCTACCATTTTATCAAGCCATCTCACTGTGAGTCTTCCTCTTTTTCTCTGAGCCTCCACCTTACCAAACATGATATCCTTCTCCAGCAAGCAGTCCCTCCTTATATAATGTCTTATCATTTATAGGAAATCACTAAGTTGTGAAAATTAGGTAAAGACATACATGTAGAGCTCGTTTTGTATACACACACACACAGGCACACAAATGTAATGTCATCTTGAGGCTGTCCCATGGAGCATACCTGGTATGCACATCCTGGGTGGTGCGCTGATTTTCACGGCCATGAAACTCACAGATTTCTCCTGATGTGAACCACCAAGCATTACTCTTCATGAACTTCACCATTGTAAGTTCTCTGCACACCTTTTCTCCACTGTTACGCTGTTGAGAGACTGCACCAAACATTAGGAATGAATTTTCAAATAATAAAACATGAACGGAATTTAATAGCAAACAGAAAATTCAGATGATCACTACTAACATATCAGAAATGGAAAACACACAGAGAGGACAAAGAAGTAGAACTAAATCAATGAAGACCAGATTTATCAAGCTTGAAGATAAATCACCCAATGCTACTAAGATAGAAGAACTCTCAGTAAAAAAAGAGTGAAAAAACATGAAGACAGCCTAAGATTCCTCAGGACAATATGAACAGGAATAGCAGTTGACTGAAACTCCAGAACAGGAAGAGACAAAGAAAGTCACAGAAAAGATAATCAAAAGAGAAGGTACAAACAAGATGGCGGAACAGGTGGATGTGTAGCAGAGAGCTCCGCCAACAACAACACAGAATACCCGACCAAGCAGGTTCAGGGGATGGTCCCAGAACTCTGAACCACATAAAAAAGAATACTCAGAAGCTTGGAAGGCTCACAGCTGGGGGAATTTGTGGCAGAAGCAAGAAATCTATTACTTTCTAGTCTAGGACGCTCAGCTGAGCCAGGAGCCACCATCTTGTGTGAGACCATGTGGGGAAAGGATCGGAGTGGCCACAGACGCCTGGCAGAACCGCTGAAATAAAGGTGTGGACATTCTTTTCTTTAGGTATCTGTTCACTGGTCCTTTGCGTACCTCCGTTCTGGTGACTATAGGGGTGGCTGAGCTAGTGGGCACCCCAGCACCATTCTCGGAGGGTTCTACTATGCATGAGCACAGATCTCCTCGAAATTTAAAGAGACAGTTTCAAATTAAAACCAAACGGTCACAGCTGGCCCTGGACTGTTTCAACTAGAAAAAAGGACTGAATGGGGATTGTGGAGCAGGACAAGCAGAAAAAAGAGGAAATAGGCCGAAAATTAAATCCTAAGTTACGTCAAAATGACCAACAGTGGTATCTTGAAACTTCTCAGGAAGAAGAGTGAAAAGGGAAGCCCATTTCCTGATCACATCTACCTGGAGGCATTCAGAAAGCATAAAAAATACCAAAATACACACCCATGTAAGTATTAAGGCCACAAATAACCCCTGAATATGCCCAAAAAACAGAAGCAGATGACCTTATCTGCTCATGTCCAGAAACAAGATAAAATGACTGAGGCAAATGAGCTGGAAGGAGACGTACACTCCATACTAGAAGATGGGCAGGCTTTGGAAATGCCTGAGAAGAAATTCCTAAAAATGCAATTGAGAAAAATAAGGAAGAAGTCAGGAAAGTGCTACAGGAACAATCAAGTAAGATAGATAGAGAATTCGAAACAATTCAAAACCTACAGAGAGAGGTCCAGATGATTAGTAATAGAATATCAGAAATGGACCACACATTGAAAGGGCAAAGATATAGAACTGAAGAGATAGAAGCTAGAACTAGTGAGCTAGAAGATAAATCTCTCAACACTACTAAAATAGAAGAACAAATACCAAAAAGGATTAAAAAAATCCGAAGAAAGCCTTAGATTCATGTTGGATAATATGAAGAGGAATAACATAAGAATTATTGGCATTCCAGAACAGGAACAACCTAAGACAGAGCCATTGCCATGCTGCAATGAG